AGGAGATCTCAAGTTGAGAAACCTTCAGAAAAATTTGAACTCATCGGAACTGGCTTGAAAACTCCTCCGCTATTCTATCAATCAACTCACTGATTAGTAATCAGTGATTACTAATTTGTCGTTCATATTTTTAAATAAATTCCCAGAGACTACAAATGTTAAAAAAATCAATCAATCTGTTACTCATTTTCAGAGGTAAAATTTACAAATAATTCTGAATTGGCATTGAATCTTATCAAATCGTCAAAATTTATTTTAAAAAGTTCAAATAGTTTTTGTGTAAATGATGCACTTTGGCTCATAAAATACTGAGATCATATTATGAAATATATATATTTAAAGAAATTTTCATAAATTAATTTCATAATGAGGTGCGTGCCACAATAATAATAATAATAATAATAGGATTTATTATCTTGAAAGTAATTTCTGCCCATAAAGCACTACTATTCTTTGCAATAATGGTGCGTGCCACAAGAAAATTAGTAAACTTGAAAATAAATTGCTATCCTATTTAATCAAACCAAACTCAACTTCAATTTCCTGAAACGTAGAGAAAATGTTAACAAAATAATTTCACAAACCTTTTCATACATTTTTACTTGATTTTTATAGTAAAATATTGCCACCTTAATTTTCACTGATTATGTATTCCTTGCAAAGTAACATAAATTAAAGGATAGGATGTTGGAATTTGGAGTTTTTGGAACAAGAAGAAGTTTTGCGCATTTTGATTTAAGTTTCCAGTTAGCTTCTACCAGTGATTTTTTTAAATGGGAAAATAAAATTTGTGAGAATAAAATCGTGTAAAATTAATGTTTTTTTAACGATAAAAGCAACATTTTCAATTTTCCATTGACTTTTTTTAAAAATTAAAACATGTTAAAGAACCTGTAACTTTTGTAAAATAATTTTACAAACTTTTACAAAATAAAGAGACGCCCTTGATAGAAGCTAATTTTGAAGCTAGTTGTCCTTCGAAATATTTGTAAAATTTTGTAAAAATTTACAGAATGTAAGTATTTTACAATGCTACCAAGACCAGCCTGAATTTAGTTTAGTGTATGAATTTTTTTATAAGTTCTTTTCCGACGGTACCAACCAAAGCTAAGGAACGCTGTAGTTAAATTGCAAGTCCCATCGAAATGAATGAAGTAGAGCCCCCTAGTTCGAAAGGCCACAAGTAGTAGCCCTTCATCATGTGTGGATTAATTGTGGCCGTTAAAACTGGATGGCGTACAACTTCACTCCTTCGATTTCTCTATACAAAACACATGGAGTACAGAGGCGTCCTCAACCTTTAAAGGCCAGAAATAATCTCCTTACTCTATGAACAAAGAGCTCTACTCGCATCATCCTTTCTTATACATCCATGGTACCAACTAATCTGTAATGATTTCCGAACATATTTAAATAAAAATTATTTATTGCACGTCGGCGTTAAAGTTTGGAAATTTTAGAATTTTTTTAAACAAATTTACAATTTTTTTAAACAAATTTACAATTTTTTTAAACAAATTTACAATTTTTTTAAACAAATTTACAATTTTTTTAAACAAATTTACAATTTTTTTAAACAAATTTACAATTTTTTTGGCACGAAGAAAAAAAATTCACTCTTGACTTGGAAATTTTAGAAATTTTTCATAATGGTGAGAATTATCAAAAAATTCGTTTTTTCTACGGAGCACGATTTATATTTATATTTCGTGAATCTCTATTCTGGAAGCACGTGAAGATTTCTTATCTGTTGAGAAAGGTCATGATTTTTGGTGGTTGATGGTTTTAAGATTAGAAACCTTAAATTTCTGGAAATATTAGAATTTTTTATATGTATAGAGCAGAGAGTTATCTAAAAATACGATTATAATTTGGTAAAATTGGAATGTCAATGATAACATTTTAAGGTGTTTTGTATTGTTCAATTGAAAACCATACCTGTTCACTTTCATTCATTTGACTGATTATGATGGTGAATGACAATGAAATTCCTGACATTTGAATGAAAATGACTGAAGGATTCCGTCATTTCCTATGAATGACTGTGAATGAAAGAATTTTTCACTCATTTCATTTTTCACGCTCAAAAATTGAGCCATTTTAATTTTAATTTTTCATAGTCAAGTTTTAAAAAACTATCAAACCCCATCAAATTAAGAGATAAATTGCAGATGCACTTCGTATTTTTTTCAAATCAATGAAATCCATCATTTCCATAAACTACTTTTTAATTAGAGCACGTAGTATCAAACATCTTTATTTTTATTTTTATTATTACTTTCCCAACAAATTCTCAATTGGCATCAAAGTAACAAACAACGATATTTCTCAAATCGATAAAATAAAATTGACCCAAACAAAACTCAAAAAGTGTCGAGAGTAATTTAGGAATTGATACACTTTAATCATAAATTCCAAAAATCAGGTTATTAAGAAAAAGAGCACCTAAATTTGATCTTGAAATTATTATAATATTACGAATTTATAAAAAAAATCGCTCCGTACAGATCCATACAGAAGTAGTTTTTAAAAATTAGAGTAAAGAAGAGCTGATAATCTTAATATCACGATTAAATTTTAATTAAAATCTCAATTGGCAGTAACGTATAACTTTTTTCAAACCTGTAAAATTTATCCAAGCAAAACAAAAAACTCCTGATAATAATTTATGAATTGATACACTTTTATCGAGTTAAGTAATTTTTTGGAGGTAATTAATAGGAGAAAATATTTAAAGTTTCTTTCAATTTCATAATTTATTTTTTAAAACATCTTCAATGATATCAACGTATTAGGCAAAGCGTTATTTTTCAAATTAAAATTGACTTGCCTGAAATTTAATCAGGATTTAACTAGGATTGTTCAAGTTGTAAAAATATATTTGTTCTTAGGAAATGGAAAATCTAAATTCGAAAATTTTCATAGACTTTCTTAATTGGTTCTTTCTTAAAATCGAAATTACCTTAAAAAATATAAACATAAGCTTCATTCATTTCAATTTTGACTTTTTTTCGAATCTCCAAAATTTACACGAAGTAAACAAGTATTGCAACTGAAATTCTTCATGTCACAGTACGAAATTTCTTGAAAAAAAAACGCTCCAAAAAATACAAATTTGACTTGCAAGACATAAATTATTCCGTATTCAATGAGTCCACTCCTCTATCTTAATTTCGTTTTTGTAATGTTACCAATTTTTCCAAGATTCTTAACTGGCATCAAATCCTATCCTACAATATAGCGGTTTTCAAAATTTATCTGTTCCTTCCTTCACTACACAAATTTAAATTTTCAAAAATTGCTTAGAATTTTATACCTACTACTGGACAGGCTGTAAAAGATGACAGATTAAACCTCTCAAACATCTATAAAGCATTTGAATTGTTAAGAACTTCAAAGAATTCTTCACCGGCATTAAATCATATCATAAAATACGGCTTGCTGATTGTCTAATTTGAAAATACATATGACTCAAATTAAAAAACTAAAAACTCATAATTTCAAAAATTTCATACCTTTTTATATTTTGATATTTCAGAAATGATGTCACGCAATTTCTAAAAAAACGCACTGAAATACAAACTACAGTCTTAGAAAACCAGTACTAAATCATTATTAGCCAGAGTACGTATAAATATGATATGACTAATAACTGGCTTTACCGTTTAGTAATTTTGTACCAATGACAAATTTACCATTAAAAACTACTACCAAGTCGGTAAGATCTTATTACCAAATCAATACCAGTACGGTGTTGAGTATATGTTACCCTACCAGATTTTTAACGGTGAATATTTGACGTAAATTATGTTATTTCACACAATTTCTTGAAAAACAAACGCACTGAAATACAAACTAGGGCCAGATAGATAGCTTATCTATAACTTATTTAAGATAGGTCATTTATTTTAATAAATTGATTTGATTTACCAACGCTCCTTACCAGAGAGTGAAATTAAAAGAATTCTATGGAAAACAAGGACAAAATAAGTGTTTTTATAATTAGATTTGTTATAAAGTTATGTTTTGAGCTTCGTAAACTTGCTAAACGAGCCATTCTAAATAAGACCTCCGAAAAATATATATGTATTCATATCTATAAAAATACATATAAAAATTGACTTTTCTTCGTAATATTTACTAGTTTATGGAAATTTTAAAAAATTTGGACAGATTATCCAGTTACAAATTGTGGATGGAAAAGCTTTGCTTCTTGATCTAGTTTCCGTATTTACTAGGAAAAAATACTTTTTGTTGTAAAGGACATCAAAATGTAACAGACTTCAGAGAAGTATTTTTTTACACGCTTTTCTGTGTGAATTTTAAGTTTCCAAACCGTCATTTTGTAGAGTTTACAGAGTTTAAGTGACACTTGAGCTCTTCTGCAGAATTTACGGCGTTGCGAAGGTTTTAGTTGGCAAAAAACGCGAATTCTCAACATATCTAAACTATGGCAACATGTGGTTTTTTAATCTAGTTCTGTAACTTTAACCAATAAACAGTTTTGATTAAAAATCGGAGTCAAAACGTGATAAATTTTTACAACGCATTTTTTCGTATTTTACACAATTTTACAGTTTTTGAAATATTATAGAACCGCTCATAAATTTGTAGAGTTTACATAGTTTCAAATTTCGGGCTCAATACTTTCTGAATTTATTTCCAGAAACGTAAAAATTTCAGCTGTAAACACTGTGAAAATGCTATAATTAAAAAAATACATTCTTTAATTTTAGATGATTTGTCTTCGTAATTTTTAAAAAATTGTAGAACTGTTCGGAGAGTTTACAAAGCTCCAAATTTCGGACTTGGTTCAATCTATTGATTTCTATGAACGTGAAAATATTCGCTGTAAACATCTTGTTATAAGTTTTTTTAAAATGCATCCTTTAATTTTAGGTGACTTACCTTTCTAATTTCTGAAAAATTGTTGAAACATTCGTAAATTTACGTAGTTCGCAAAGTTATTAATTTGCAAAATTTTGTCTCATTTTTCCCAGGACTTGGAAATGGGGACATTGGCCATGTTGGACGATGGAGATATGGTTCACCGCTTCCCGGCAGATCACCAAGGTCCGGAATACGTCTACCTCCCCCGCACAGGAGGCATCTACCTCTTGACCCTCAAACAGATCGAAGCCATGTTCGAAGAGCCCGTGCAAGTTAAGGTTCGTAAATATATTTATTTTTTTAAAAAAAGCTGGTTTTTTAAGAAATTTTATTTTATACACTGACGCAATTCACGCAGGCCATGGTAACTTGTAAAATAAATAAGGTTTATAAAATAAGTCTACAAACTTTTACAGAATAAAGAGAAGCCTTTGATTGAAGTTTAGGTACATAAATTTGTAAGCTTCTTCCAAAATATTTGTAAAATTTTGTAAGTTTGAAGAATTTACGGATTTTATTTTTCCAAAAAAAAATACGAACCCATGCAGAACGATTTCACTCACATTTTTGTAACCGACTAATTTTCAATTTTTATAACACGGAAAATATCGAACCCCACTTTAAGGTGCGTAAATTTGATTTTAAAGTTTGCTACTAATGTATTTGCCACTGTTTTTAATTGACGTTAAAACTTGACAAAAATTTAAAAGTAGTAAAATGGTAAAAATTTTTGAAATTGCCCATCTAAATTCGGTACATTTTGTAATAACGATTTTTACAAAAAATTCCGTCAATAACTTTTGGTTATCAAGATGATGAGCGTACACATGTTATATTTTACAAAATTTTGAAATCGTTTCATACATTTTGAAACAACTATTTTATACGCATTTCGTTACGTAAATGATGTTTGGTTAGGAAGTTTACAAATATTTGTAAGCTTAATTTCCTCAGAAATATATGTGCAATTTTGTAAAAGTTTGTAAAAGTTGCAAGTTTATTGAATGTGAGGATTTTACAAGTTACCAATGTGTGAATTCCGTCATTATTTTTTCGCGTAAAGCAGGTGATCCTCAGTAAACGTATTAACTTAAGATAAGCGTTTCACTCATAGATATGTAAGATTAATAAAATAAACAAGGGAAAGAAATTTGCTTTCAGAAATAGTCAATTTGAGGAAATTTGAAAAATTTCGAAACGAAAGTTGATGAAATTAGAAGAACAAAGAATATCAAATATGTACATAGAAAACATTTTAAAAAACATAAAAAACAGACAAATGCAAAAACGCGGTGTAAGAATTGATTTTTTTGTAAACTGCAAATGTGTAAAATATTAAGTTTAAGACTAGAATTTTAACTATTTTACCGATTTCATTTTATTCGTAACAAAAAAGTTTTTTGTTTCCCTAATTTCCTAAATTTCAAAATTCAGTAATTTTCAAAACACAAATTTTTCAATGTTATACGATTTAAAAATAAAAAAATTCATTTCATTTTAGGGAAACGCTATTCAAAAATTTCAAATTTTCGACATACTGACCTATTCACGTCGCCGATTTTATAAATCTTACAAACAATTTTTCCAAAGTCTCAAAATCCCATTTTTTCCCCACAGGTCGAAACCGTCACCACCTACAAAAACCAAGGCCTCCTCCCCGAAGTGGGCAACCTCGTGGGAAACCTCCTCTTCGGGGGAGGGGGACGTAGTATGGGGCATTCTAAGAAGAAAAAATCCCGCCATGGCAAACACCGCCACCACAAAAAGCACCACAGAAAACATGGCCATCGTTACAAACGGTCCACCTTCCAAGCGCCATCTCCCGCCACGGGGAGTAATGAGATTGAAGCCTCGGCAGAGCGGGAACAGAGGGAAAAGCGCGGGTGGCTATTGGGCAACGGGGGGCAAGGCGGGAACGGGTGTCACGGCGTGTTTGGCATTGTCGGCTGGATTTTGGGGAACAAAAAAGGTTGCGGTGAAGCCGAAGATACCGTCACAATTATTGGCGCGAACGGAGGTACCATTATGCCCCCTGGTGTGCAAGTTGATAATCCGGGTGGTTATCCGCCACCAGGTTATCCACCACAAGGAGGTTATCCGCCGCAAGGATATCCACCACAAGGAGGTTATCCACCACAGGGTTATCCACCACAAGGTTATCCACCACCCGGTTACCCACCTCAAGGTTACCAAGGAGAAGAACAGAGATAAAGCTTCAAAAAAATTATTCAGGAGTTAAATTATTTATTTATTTATCTATCGGCTATTACATAATTTATGTTGTGAAGATTTAAAAAAAGCGTGAAAAAATAAATTTGAATAATTGCGCGAAAAATAAGGGGGAAATTTGAAATAAAATTGATTTTAATTGATAAGAGAATTACTCTAATCTTCTTAAATTAAGAGAAAGGATGTCAAGGATTGGAATTGGAGCGTCAAATATTTTTCCCGCTACAGCTAATCATTTTTTGGGGGTAAATTGAAACAGGGCGGAAAATTCAAAGATACTATGAAATTCACCAAAATTCCATGCCATACTTGATGCACGACTACCTTCTAAATTAAACAATGACCGGATAAATTTGTTTTCAAGTTGTGTCTGTGTTGACCTTAATTCGCAGAATCGAGTTCACAATTGGCGTCTTTGTTTTTGTTTTGTTTTTTTGCATGAGCTTGGCCTTCTTCCGCATCTGCCTAGGCACATTTTCTTCTCCGTCACGAGGGAAAGTTAAGTCTGGATTGTCCTTGTTCTTCGTGGAACAATACGGTTTTCAGTTTTTCGCGAAGGTGTGGCCCGTCATGCTGAATTTCTGATGCCGCTGTCAAGGTAAGTTGTTCAGTTTTTATTTTATTTTAGCTTTAAACGCACTGAAATTTGGGTTAAAAAACGTCACACGATTTACAAAAAAACTCAAAATATTCATGAAACACTTGTTAAAACAACATCATAAAATACTTCTGAAAAAAAACACCAGGGTTTTCACGTCACGTTCATAATTCTTTCAAATGACAATTCACGAAGCTTCGTAAATGTTATAAATTTCAGTCTAGTATCAGTTTTTATTATTTTAACATACTGAAATTTATTTTTAATATCTTATTCGACAAAAACGTCAAGCTATTAACGCAAAAATGTATAAAATATTTAGGAATTGTTTCTTGGAAGGGTTTCACATCACTTTTATAACTGTGGTAATAAGCGTCGTAAATAGTGTAAATTTTCGACATTACGAAAATTCCATGCTTAAGTACAAATTCATTGTGAAACACAATTTTAAGTAATTAAACTTGGATTGGACAATTTCTAATTCTGCGAAAAGTATTTCAGGGGAAATCTCAGAAAGAATCTAATTTTTTTAGTTTTAGTGCAACACCCCAAAAAACAGGAACCGTCTCATAAACTAGTCAACAATCAAATGTATTCTCATGTTTGCAATATTGTAAACTCTGCAAATTTTTTTAATCAGGCTACAAACTTAAATACCTACATACGCGAATCGGGGTGCTTTTTTTAACTTAATTTTACAAAACTTTTACACAGTTTACAAATCAGTGCTTGAAAGTCAAAAAGGTTTCCTCGAAAAATGACCTAAAGATTATCCGCTTCTCTACAACAAAAAACAAATGCAATCTAAACCGGCTTACGAACCATTCAGGAAAAGAATTTACTCTTTGTAAACTCTGTAAATTTTGTGTACAGGTTTTACGAATGAAAATGTCAAACGATTTAAGAAAAAATGGTTAAAATATTTACGAAATACTTGTATTTCTGAAAACTCTAAAAATGAGTAAATTTTTTCCACTAGTAAAAATTACTACTTTTATTGATCAATGTTTTAAGCCAGCTCCTTTTTCGAAGTTTTTGAAAAAATATACTGAAAATTTTGACATTTTTTTCTCATTCATTACATAAATTACGAGCTCATCATCACAAACATTTTATAATTATGTGCGAATTGGATTCCATCTAACCATACTTTGAGTTACTCAACATCCTAAAACTTGCTTTTTGATGTAGAAACTTAGCAAAAGTTACAATTTCTTTAATCGATTGTAACACAGACGAAGAACATAAAATATGCAGACATATTTATGAAAACTAGGTGAAAAATATGGATTTAAGATACTTATGGAAAAAAATTTGGAAGAAAAAAAAATGTTAAAATTCAAATTTTATTTTTTTTTAGCTAAATTAGAATTTTTTAAACTGATTTCCTTGAATTGCTTTGTACTAATTGTACTCCGATATTTTTAAGTTTTTAGTCAACACTTCGCAACATTTGTCAATTTTAAAAAATTGAAATTTTGAACTAAAAGATATCCGAAGAGCAATCTTTTTATATGTATTAAGTGCTCGATATTTTCAAATTATTTTTCTGGAATAGAAATTTGACAAACGTTACTATTTCTTTAATCGTTTTTAGCAAAAATGTGGAACAGAAAATATGTGTATTTCTGTAAACTAGGTGAAATATGTTTTTAAAATTTCCGAAAAAAAAAATTTGGAAATATTTTCGACAACAAAAACGTAAAATACACGTTCCAAGTTTTAGGCTAAATTAAATATATATATTTTTAATTCACTCCTATCCCCTGAGTTGCTTTGTACTATTTTGAACCTTTCCGTCTAAAATTGAGATATGGGAAAGATTTGTCAATTAAAAAAAAATGGGAATTTTGGTTGTTTAAAATCATTATGGTAAACAATCCGATAAGAAATATACGCTACTGAAATAAAATAGATCTGTATATATTTTTATTAAGTGTTCAATATTTTCAAATTATTTTTCTGCAGTAAAAACTTGATAAAAGTGACAATTTTTTAAATCACTTTTAACAAAACATTAAAAGTGCAAAATTTGAAACTTTTCCTATTTCAATGGAGCCTTAAAACTTAAATTTTAGACTTTATTTATTTGTCCGCCTGTTTAGACACTTTTTCAAAACTTATCAAAATTTATAATTTCTCACATTTTCTGGAACTAAAAATGCTTTATCTTTCAATATTATTTATTAGTTAAATTTCACCATAATTTTGATCAGGAGTAAAAGTATGGCAAAATTTTGAAATATTTTTACGCAGTAAAATAGGAAACTGTAACATTGTTTTTAAATGCTACAGGTAATTTGGAAGCAATGTTGGGTATTTGGATCGATAACTCATTTCTCATTTTTCGTAAAGTTCATAATTTTATGTTTTTTGAAATATTTTTACAGTAAAAAAGGAAACTGTAGGATTTTTTTAAATGCTACAATTAATTTGGAAGCAGTGTTGGGTCGATACCTCAGTTGTAATTTTTTGCAAAGTTCATAACATGGAGTTTGAGATTTCTAAAAGTAAATGTAAGTCTGTGGTTCATAATTTTATAAGCGGCTTATACAACTTGAAGTAAACTTGTAATTATTCTCAAGAACAAGCAATCTCACCTTTTAATATTATTTATTAGTTAAATATCAAAATTTATTTTATCCTATTTGTCGTAATATGACCACAGAAAATGCAACTTTACAAAAATGATTTCATTCCAATTCCGAATTTTGGAAAAATTAAGAATTTTGATTAAAAAAAACTGTAGTTAGACTAACGACGTTTTCCAAATGCACAACTGGCACAAACCAATGCATAATTTACAATTTTTTGTTGGATTTTGGATCTTTTTTATATCAATATCAATAAAAACTAAAGCGTTACGACATTTACAAAAATTCCATGATTACAAATTCATGGGGAACAAAGCCACAATTTTAAACAACAAACATCGGACGACAACAATCTATTAAATTTTATTCATAGCGCAAAATCCTAAAATATCGGAACCGACTCGCAAACCATTCAATTTCAAATTTACTTGCGTTTATGTGAATAATTTTGTAAACTCTGTAAATGTTTTGGTTGGGCTGTAAACTTAAACGCGTATCCGCGAATTGAGGTGCATTTTGGTAACATTATTTTACAAAAGTTTTGCCTCGGTTTACAAATCGGCACTTGAAACTCAAAAAGGTTCCCTCGACAATATTAGAAAATTATCTAAAGATTATTGTCTCCACTAGAAAAAAAGAGAATACAATCTAAATCGGCTTACAAACCATTCAGTAAAATAATTTGCTCTATATAAACTGTGTAAATTTTAGTTACATATTTTACGAATGAAAATTAGGCTAAAAATTTATCGTAAACTTGCTCAGATAGATGACTTTTCTTTATTTTGAGAATTTTTCAAGTAACTTGAGTAAACGTCGCAAATAGCGCAAATTTACGACATTTGCGAAAATCAAAAAGGTGCCGTTGAGAAGACTCGATATTATCTAAATCTTTTCGTCTCCATTACAAAAAACGAATAAAATCTAAACCGGCTTACAAACCATTCAGTAAAGTAATTTACTCTGTGTAAACTCTGTAAATTTGTGTTTACTTTAGTTTTTGTAAAGTTTTACGAATGAAAATGAGGCAAAAAATGTATTCTAAAGTGATACAATTCGAGTGCATCTCTCTATTTTTTATCTTCGATACTATGGTGCGTAAAGGTCTTAAATAGTGTAAACTTACGACGCTTGTAAAATTTCCAAGCTTCATAATACGCAAGATCGTTGATGCGTCTTTTTCATTCATAAAAATATTAGAGCATGAATTAGAAATCACGATACATATTTCGAGCAGCATTTGATAGCGAAGTTATTTTGTGAAAAAGTTTCTGTTAAAAACCTTTTCTAAAGTATTATTTACGAAGGTCTTTCACGGGAAACTTTGTAAATCGTCTTCGTATAATAGTAATTTATTTTGATACGAATCCTAAGTTATGAAGGTCGTTGAAGCCACCAGCCCCAAACAAAATTTGAATGACTTTTCTACTACTAAAAATTATTAGTTTTAAAACTTTAAAGACTTAACTTTAGTCGTTTAAACTGCCAACACTCTTCTTTCGAAGTTTGGACAAATTCAAGTTTAAAAAATAGCGAAAATGTGAAATAATGAGTGAATACGAAATGAATATGAAATGAATAATGAATGAATAACTGCAAATGACAAAAATAAAAAAAATAGGAAATTTTCCTCAATATTTTTTCTCATTCACAAACTCATTACAAATATACCTGTAATTGAACTGGAATTTAACGCAATCTATCTATCTATTCCGTTAGTTACTCAACATCATAAAATTTTTTGTCTGGAGTAAAAATTCAACAAAAGTGCGAATTTCAATTTCAGACAATTTCTGTAATCGTTATTAGCTGAAATTGGGAACATAATGTGCATATTTCTGAAATCTAAGTGAAATGTGGATTTAAAATTTGTGAAAA